AGCTGTAATATTTTTGTGAATAGTAAATTTCCTGACGATATTGTTCACTATGAAAACATGGTTAAATAAAAAAAAATTTCGTATAAATAATTTACCCGATAGTTTATTGAACGCAAAATGAACACCTGCAGCAGAGTAAGGTCTGCCAGAGGCCAGAAATGGCTAGTCACTGTGCGGTGATAACCGTCTTTTCGCGGAGAACGGCCTAATTTTAATGTTAATTAATATTGATCTTATTATGCGGATTATCGAGAAACGACAAATAATTTCCTTGTAAGAATTTTTATTGAAAAATTATTAGTATTTTTATCAATTATTATTGTCACTATTTATTACCTCATTTTATCCATTTAATCCCATTATTATTGGAAACAACAATATTGTGAAATTGAGATTTAAAATCTAATTAAAATATTTTAGAAATAATAAAATCAAAACTGAGCCAAGCACTCTATCAGCCATGCAAATTACAAGACTTTTGCATGTTGCTCGAATTTGTTCATTGATCAAATATAGAAGATGATATGGATATGTAGTTGTTGTACTATCGTCATCAACACCATCATCATTATAAGATATTGTAGATATGAGCGGTCGTTTTTCTGAAAATTGGTTTGCTCGTTCAGATAAACTATCATTATTAGCTATGATTGTTGTGGTTGATGATGAAGGAGATAATTTTGATGTTAACAGCAAAGACCGTGGCTGAAGTGTTAGTGATGATGACGGCGATGATAAATTAATCAAGTCATTTTTTAAATCATCATTTTCTATTAAATGAAAGATATCTACAGAATTACTCGATGATGAATTTTGTTGTTGTTGAAATTTCATCAAATCATCTTTTCCAATATTATTATTATTACTAATATGAATATTGTGGTTATCATTACTTGTAATAATGGTAGTATTATTATGATTATTATTCCATTGAATTGATGATTCATTATCAATACCAATATCACAAAAATCCAGATTATCGTCATCATTGTTATTATTACATGATGTTTTCAAAAGTTTTTGACGTTTAGTAGGATGTTCTAAAAATTGATCAAAAGTGTGATTGTGAATTGTCTTGTTGATGCCAAAACTATTGTCATCGTCAATGTCAAGACTACCAACTATATTTATTTCATTGTTATTATTAATATCAATGCCATTAGCACATATATTCTCTTTATTATTATTATTATTATTATTATTATTACAATTATTGTTTTTGTTATTGATGTTAAGATTTCCATCATCGTCGTCATCACCATTATTGATATAACTATTATAGTAATTTGTGTGATGATGAGTTGACATTATATCATTTCCTCCTTAATTCAAAAGAGATTAATTAATTAATTTAATCTTGGAGGATAACAAAACCTAAAGAAAAATTTTTACCATTTTTGCCATCTTCAATATTAAATAAACAAGGATTAATAATAAATTGTAATAGATCATCATCATTTGTATTATTGCTAGTTTCTTCATACGAAATATGTGAATTGGTAGTGTTAAACTGTTGCTGTTGATTACGTTGTTGAGTTATTTCTTGGGAACAAAGATCAAGAAAATCTAAAAATAGCGATTAACAAATCAGTTAATTCATTAATTAAAATGAATAAAAAAAGAAGAACGTACATTGTTGTATATTCTCATTATTATTATGTGGTTGTATATTATTATTACTAGAAAGATGATCAACAAATCTGTCTCTTTGTGGAAAATTTTGATGATCATCATCATTTTGAGGGGAATGATAATGCATTTTCTCTTGTCCTTCTTGCTCTTTTTTTAATAATGGTGATGATGACAATTCATGTACTTGCTGTAGTGGTAATTCTTGCTGTTGCGATGAAGATGATTGTCCATGTATGTCAGTAGTAGTAGGTGATGATTGATAGGGTGAAGTAGCAACAGCGGTTACGGTTACGGTAGTCGTGGTGGATAAAGCAGAAGGAAAAGTATGATTATTTAATAAAGACGCCGAAATTGAACTTTCAATTGGTAACAATGATGATGATGATGACGAATTGTGTGTCGAGGGTGAAACTTGAAAAAAAAAATTTTTTTCATTAATCAAAACATAAATTATAATAAAATTTCGAATAAAAATATATTTACTTGCAAATAATGAATCATCACCTCCTTGGCAATACATTATAATCGCCGTCGTCCTTTTATAATTTCGTATGCTATGTGTAACTAACTATATTAAAAATTAATGATTTGGGCAAACTACTCGCGTGCTAAAAAAATGGTAAAGGCATAAAAATGTTATTAGCAATTATTTATTTATATATATATTATTTAATATCATGATTATTTATATTTTAATATGCAAAAAAAAAATTTTGATGGATAAATCAAATTAAAAAGATAATATGCCTTTGCTAATGATTTATTGATCACAGATTATATTTGAGTTTTTTTTTGAGGGGAAAATTTTGGAAATAAAAATAAAAATAAAAACAAAAATAAAAATAAAAATAAAAATAAATTTATTTATATATTAAAATGTGGAAAAAAAAGTTTAATAGTAAAAGTTTTAATTGGCAAAAGGTTTAATTGGTAAAAAAAATTATATATTCCGGTGAAAATCATAAATATATATAATATGTCATTTTAATTGATTTTATTGTTATGTGATGATATCATTTATACTTGCGATTTGACTATTTCAAAAAAAAGCTTTCACACTTTTTTTTTTTTTTTTTATAATGATTTGATAAGATCATTTATACCAATAATTATTATACTGTGGTTGTTAGACTATCATTATCATTAACTAACTGTTTGTTGCATTATCGGATCAATTTTTTCAAATTCAGATAATGATTTAATTTCGTCTCAATTATTTATTATCTTTTTCACTTAAAGCCTTAAATCGTAATCTACATTGGATCGAAGATCTTGTACCAACATCAGCAGAAACCAATCTCCATTTCTTTCCATGCTTACTGTAGGAAATCTCAAGAGCCCTAATCTCTTCTTCAGACCAAATTCCTTTTTTAATTAAAGGATTAACCGATATTGATCTGTCATAATGATATTTAAGGTTATTTTTTGATCGATAAGGAAACAATTCTTTGATATTATCCCAATCCTCGCCATGATCCTTCACCGCCTGATACAATTGATCATTTTCAACTTTCGTCCAAGGTGGATTGGCTATGGCATAGTCATAGTATAGTCGTAAAGTTCCGGGTGGTCTACCAAGAACTCTTGAGAAAGCATTCCACTTGAACCCATACTGTTCTACTAAAAGTGTCAACATCGCATGTTCCTCCGGTAACCATTTACCTTTTTTTTTCCATGCTAGTTGTTCCCATCGTCTTTTAATTTGTAGTAGATTCCGTGTATTATTAAACTGTTCCACAATTTTGCTCCAATTGTTTGTTCCATGCTTTTTAGTAAGCATTTTCAGTTTCTTATCTTCTTCCTCTGTCCATCGATCGTAATATAACAGTGATTTATTTTTTCTAATGTAGTTCCATTTTCGTGATAAAGCTGCAGTGTCTTTTTTGCAATTGAAATATTCCACTGATATTAATTCCCATTCAGTCCCGTGTTTGACAACCGCTTTCTCCAACAAATCAGTTTCCTCCTGTGTCCACCTCAACATCTCTCTAGATCGAAAACGTTGATATACATCGTCAGATAATGACGATGAGACTGGTGGCGATGGTAGTGATAACAATGATTTAGTTATACTTTTAGAATTATTGGTGTTAATGTTACTGACCCTAGTATTAATATTGTTATTTGTTTTGATCCTGTTGGTTTGGGTTGTGTGGGCTCGTCCATTATGCGAATTTATTGCTATTATTGAATTAGTAATATTAACACGATTAATCTTGAGGATAAACAAACGACGATTAAATAATATAGTTATATTCATTTTTTTTTCTTATAATACAATGTAATACAACAAATTATCTGATCATCCATCTCAAGCATCATTGGGGTCTCATGACATATCAAGTGTCATAATTAATTGACAAATGCTATTACTATAATAATAATTAATTGAAATGTTGTCACAATTAATTGAGGCAAATGTTATAATTGATTGAAACACTGTTACAATTAATTGAAGAAAATGTTGCAAATATGGTATATTTAAATAACATTTTTTTTGATGTTCAATTTTCACTTATTCAAATGAATTTTTTAATTTTGTGTATACTACTACATCAGGAAATTTTTCCCGCCGTCCATAAATTTTAATATGTAAAGTTGTAATATTTGCATAAAAATTATGTAATATTTACACTCGATGTAAATAATCGCATAATTTTTGTATGCTTATTTGCATAATATTACCGGCCCACCGCAAACTTACGTAAATCTGCGTCAGAAAAATTTCCTGATGCTATATTACAAAATAAAAGATCAATTGAAAGAATGACATTATACATGTGGTCAAAATTAAAAGTCCTGTGACGCAATTGGTTCACTGTGAGACGCATTGACGCAGACGCAATTCGTGACGCGAGACGCAATTCGTGAATGATGGAATATGCACTGTCTTACAATAGCGTTGTAATAATTTAATTTTCGCTGTTATCAAATTATAACAGTTTTTATGAATTTTACGTTCAATTTCGCAAATACAATCCTAGAAGTCAAATTACTTCTAACAGTCAATAATTACATTCGTATATTTATATAAAATTACAATAAATAAATAATTAATAAAATACATATTATACGAATGTATCTTATGTTTCCCGGGATGCTTAAAGTAACTTTTGGAAACATATTAATATTAATAAAAGTCACAAAATTATGTGTTACATTTGTAACATTTTCCCGAATTACCAAAAAATAAAAAAAAAGATCACGGATTGCGTCTTGCGTCAATCATAAAAATTATGAAGAGTGACGCAAGACGCAATTTTACAGATTTTTAATTGCGTCTGACGCAATTCAATAATTTTAGTGACATGTATAAATGACATGATTTGAATTTTTTACAATTGATAAATGAGAAAATAGAATCAATTGAATCAATGTTATTAGTCATAATAAATAATTATGAATATGAAAGTGAAAGCTTTTCACATATATCAAAATTCTCCAACTCAGGAGGTTGCGACCTGGATTGCTGTTTTGGATTTTCCCTGAATTCAGAGTTTTGAGTCTTGGGTTGTTGTAATTTTTATGAAAAGAAAAATATTAATATTTAACAATTAATTATTTAATTGACGATCCGCGAATGAAGCAGAGAATTCTTATCCCCTCGATGTAGATCATCGCAGGCAAATTTGCCTGCGAACTATGCACTTTTTCACCACTAATTAACAATATTTTTTTTCAACTAAAATTTATTATTTTTTTTATATCCTAAATAGTTAAAACTCAAAATTTATGATTTAAAAAAAGTTTTTGGGTATTTTCAACAAAAAAAAAAGGGGTTTTTTTTTGAAAATTTAATGTAAAATTTTTTTTTAAATAAAAAAATTTTTTTAACCTCATGCCTTGTGATAATTTTTAATTATTGGTTCTACCCTATTAAAACCAATACAGAATATGTATATTTTAATACGTAGCACGTCTTTCATTAAGGTCAGAAAACTGGTTTAGTACCCTTTTTTTTTGTATACTATTACACAAACAATTGTGAAAATGTGGACGGATATTCTCGCAGGCAAATTTGCCTGCGAACAAAAAAAAATAATATTTACAAAAATAATTACTATTATTATGTAAGTGATTAGCTCTTGTGCATTGTTGAGTGATTTTATATAAAAATATTTACAAAAATAACTATTATTTTATATAAAAATATTTACTATATTATTTTATATATAAAAATAATAGATATAAAAATAACTATATAAAAATAACTAAAACAAATAAAACAAAAATTATTCTTGTACAGAATGATAGTTTTTAAAACAACTTGGACGTTTGTTGTTGCAACATAATACTACATTGCATTTAGAACACCAAATTTGACTTTGTGGAGGGTTTTGTGGCCTAGGTGCATTTTTTTTTTTTTAAATCATACCTGCACCACAAGCAGGAGTTTCTTTCTTCGCGGTATTCGGGAAAATGATCATTACCAATTAATCTAGTTGCTGGTAATTCAAAAATGTCAGAAACACGAAATCTTTTATTGTCATTTTTCTTTTCAGATGTCTCTCCATTTTCTCCATTACGAGTATTTCTTTTTAATGGAGTTGCTGGTAATTCAAAAATGTCAGAAACACGAAATCTTTTATTGTCATTTTTCTTTTCAGATGTCTCTCCATTTTCTCCATTACGAGTATTTCTTTTTAATGGGTTTTGAGTTGCTTCCTTAATCAATTCTTTAACTATTTGAATTCTAAACTTTTTATGTTCTTGAGAAATTCCTAACTTTTTACAAACAATAAATGAATTTACAACAGCTGTGTCTAAGAGCCAGAAAAAAAGTGGATACCAAGTCCTGAATGCTATTAATTGAGTGGAATAATAACTACAAAGCTGGTCAGCCACATCAACTCCACCCATGTGGTGGTTGTAGTCATCAATTACTTTAGGAATTGGTAACACCTTTCTTGTTTGATTTCCAAATACAATTTTTAATTTGTTTGCGTTAGTACTTGTCTCTCTTGGTCTTCTTCTATTTCTTTCTATTCTATTTTCCATTCCATCTATTTTATGTATTGTAGTAAGCATAGTCACAGGTCCATTATCAATCCATAATAATGATAATACATTATCTATTACTACACCTTTCAAATGATCCCATTCTAAATTTTTTAACTCTTTTTCTTCTTTTAAGATGGATGGAAATTTTGCAGTATTAGTCCTAATGGTACCACATGCACCATATCCTTGACTCCTTAAATATGTAAATAAATTGATTGATGAAAAGTAATTGTCCATAAAAATATTGAAAGCTTTTCCTAGTGGTAATTGCTTTACCAAATGATAAACTTCTGTGCCAATTTGATTGACATTAGGAATAGTTTCAATGATTGTTTTTACAATTTGTGAAACAAACATAAAGGTGTATGTGTATCCAGAATCGCAAAGTGATAAAATTTTGTATCCTTCAGGATTTGGTTTATTTTTAATTCTGAATGTATGTGGGCTTCTTCCAGAAAATTGTGCTATCATCTCATCAATTGAGACATTGGATGAAGGAAGATATATTTTTTTTGACACCTCACGAATGTGACTTGAAAGTGGCTCTAATTTCATAAAAAAATTGGAATGCTCTGCATAATGATCTGAGATATGTAAAAATCGCTTAATCTAAATGAAAAAAAATATATAGTTTAATATATTTAATTTTCAACATATTGAGTTCAACAACTTTTAAATTTTAATTACCTCATTAAACCTTTTAATTGTCATCATTTTTATAACTTCATGAGATGGATAATAGCTATCAATTACCCAGTAATCTTTGATAGCAGGAAGTTTAAATATTCCCATATAGATTACCAATGCTAACCAGATTTTTAATTCATTTAATGTTAAATCATTCCAATCTTTTTGGTCGGATTCAGTATTTTTTTTATATGCATATAAATTTGTATTCTTTACAATTGTTTGAAGTTGTTTTTCTGAAAAAAATAAATGAAAAATTGAATATGGTGAAGGTTCAATATCATGAAGACTCTTTGGTAATGTGGGTGTTGCTGTATGTAAAGAGTATTTATGTTGAAATGGTATGAAATCCTCTGAAGAAATATAGTTTTTATCTTTATCTTTATCTTTGCTTTTGACTTTGCCTTTGGCTTTTTTATCATTTTTTTCACTAGTCAAATTTTTTTTTTTTTTTACTGGTTCTAAATCATCCAAAAAAAAATCAGGTTCTACTAAAAAATCATTTGACCGTTCTTCGTGAATAACCCGACAGGTGAAAAAATCATCATCATCCTCACATTGTATTGAATTTTCATTAGCAAGAGACATGTCCAGAAAGAAAAATTCATTAATTAGGATTAAAAAAAATAAGGGAACATTTTTTTGAAAAAAAATTCCTTTTTATAGAAAATGAGACTGCATTCATTTTTTATAAAAATTTTTTTTTTTTTAAAAAAAATTATTCTTCAGAAAAATGATCGGCAAAAGGGTTTTTTACTTTTTCTTTTCACCATCACAAGGATTTGTCATGATGTCATTATGGTCAGATGATTTAAAACTAAGTTTAAAAATTTCCAAAAAGGCAAGAAATAAGAAAATCAAAAAATTCTGGTGCACAAACTAAAATTAAAGTATTTTTACTTGAGGTAATGTGATTTCGAAAAGTTAGCAGGCAAATTTGCCTGCGAGAATATCGAAGGGATAGTGATAATGGAGAAGAGATCTCATACAGTAATAATGCTATCACTTTTGATAGTTAACCAACCTTTAACACATAATCTTTTTCCAAACTAGAGAAGAAAAAGGGGGAAAAAAGAGCACGAGAGTATGAATGAAATTGATTTCTTGGATTACAAGCAGAAGTTTGAAGCTAAAATGAAAGTTCCTACCACTCTGCACAAAAAAGAGTTGAAAAATAAATCTTTAGCTTTCATTGAATATTATTTCAAAATAATGTGATCAGAATACTCTGACTGGGAGTATTTCTAGCCATATATTTTAGGTAAAGGGGGTTTTTGTCACCTTTTACAATGAGTATGCAGAAAAATTTGATGTCATTATGGTCAGATGATTTAAAACTAAGTTTAAAAATTTCCAAAAAGGCAAGAAATAAGAAAATCAAAAAATTCTGGTGCACAAACTAAAATTAAAGTATTTTTACTTGAGGTAATGTGATTTCGAAAAGTTAGCAGGCAAATTTGCCTGCGAGAATATCGAAGGGATAGTGATAATGGAGAAGAGATCTCATACAGTAATAATGCTATCACTTTTGATAGTTAACCAACCTTTAACACATAATCTTTTTCCAAACTAGAGAAGAAAAAGGGGGAAAAAAGAGCACGAGAGTATGAATGAAATTGATTTCTTGGATTACAAGCAGAAGTTTGAAGCTAAAATGAAAGTTCCTACCACTCTGCACAAAAAAGAGTTGAAAAATAAATCTTTAGCTTTCATTGAATATTATTTCAAAATAATGTGATCAGAATACTCTGACTGGGAGTATTTCTAGCCATATATTTTAGGTAAAGGGGGTTTTTGTCACCTTTTACAATGAGTATGCAGAAAAATTTCAAATCAAAAATTAATGCTCAATATATAGAATATATAAAGGGGTTTTTGTGTCATGTGATTTTGGATGATAGGATTTAGATGACCAGACACTTATCAAAGCAGGTTTTTGGGTCGAGGAGAGTAGTCATCACCCGGAGCTAGTGTCAAGACACATAGTACCATTAAACAGATATCGAAAAAGTGATACGCAAAGGTAAGAAAAATCGAACTTTTATGTATCAAAAAAATATATCTTCCTTCATCCAATGTCTCAATTGATGAGATGATAGCACAATTTTCTGGAAGAAGCCCACATACATTCAGAATTAAAAATAAACCAAATCCTGAAGGATACAAAATTTTATCACTTTGCGATTCTGGATACACATACACCTTTATGTTTGTTTCACAAATTGTAAAAACAATCATTGAAACTATTCCTAATGTCAATCAAATTGGCACAGAAGTTTATCATTTGGTAAAGCAATTACCACTAGGAAAAGCTTTCAATATTTTTATGGACAATTACTTTTCATCAATCAATTTATTTACATATTTAAGGAGTCAAGGATATGGTGCATGTGGTACCATTAGGACTAATACTGCAAAATTTCCATCCATCTTAAAAGAAGAAAAAGAGTTAAAAAATTTAGAATGGGATCATTTGAAAGGTGTAGTAATAGATAATGTATTATCATTATTATGGATTGATAATGGACCTGTGACTATGCTTACTACAATACATAAAATAGATGGAATGGAAAATAGAATAGAAAGAAATAGAAGAAGACCAAGAGAGACAAGTACTAACACAAACAAATTAAAAATTGTATTTGGAAATCAAACAAGAAAGGTGTTACCAATTCCTAAAGTAATTGATGACTACAACCACCACATGGGTGGAGTTGATGTGGCTGACCAGCTTCGTAGTTATTATTCCACTCAATTAATAGCATTCAGGACTTGGTATCCACTTTTTTTCTGGCTCTTAGACACAGCTGTTGTAAATTCATTTATTGTTTGTAAAAAGTTAGGAATTTCTCAAGAACATAAAAAGTTTAGAATTCAAATAGTTAAAGAATTGATTAAGGAAGCAACTCAAAACCCATTAAAAAGAAATACTCGTAATGGAGAAAATGGAGAGACATCTGAAAAGAAAAATGACAATAAAAGATTTCGTGTTTCTGACATTTTTGAATTACCAGCAACTAGATTAATTGGTAATGATCATTTTCCCGAATACCGCGAAGAAAGAAACTCCTGCTTGTGGTGCAGGTATGATTTAAAAAAAAAAAAATGCACCTAGGCCACAAAACCCTCCACAAAGTCAAATTTGGTGTTCTAAATGCAATGTAGTATTATGTTGCAACAACAAACGTCCAAGTTGTTTTAAAAACTATCATTCTGTACAAGAATAATTTTTGTTTTATTTGTTTTAGTTATTTTTATATAGTTATTTTTATAACTATTATTTTTATATATAAAATAATATAGTTATTTTTTTGTAAATATTTTTATATAAAATAATAGTTATTTTTGTAAATATTTTTATATAAAATAATATTAGTAATTATTTTTGTAAATATTTTTATATAAAATAATAATAGTAATTATTTTTGTAAATATTATTTTTTTTTGTTCGCAGGCAAATTTGCCTGCGAGAATATCCGTCCACATTTTCACAATTGTTTGTGTAATAGTATACAAAAAAAAAGGGTACTAAACCAGTTTTCTGACCTTAATGAAAGACGTGCTACGTATATATTAAAATATACATATTCTGTATTGGTTTTAATAGGGTAGAACAACAGGAGAGAACGTCCTATATAAGGAATGGATTTTCACAATTGATTACAATTTTTTTATACAGTTTAAAATACTTTTACAAGGGTAT